TTCATCAGCAGTGACCCACAAAGTCTCACTGACCATAGCAGAATGGAAAATCTGAAGCCTACTGAGAATCTAACTATGTTAGGAAAAGCAAATATGTTATTTTGGGCTATAAAATACGCCAATGAAGATGTGAGAAAGGCCTACAAATAATAAATGTGATGTACAATTGTCTCAAAACGCTAACAAATAGGGAGGAGGTCACTGTTGTCCTCCATGCTCTGTGTTAAAAAAAATGCTTTCAAAGAATTTTATTGAAAGGGTATTTTTGGCAGATAGTGCCTGGTTAACAAAAAACCAAGATGGATTTTTCCTGTTCTAACTCATTCACTTTACACTGCAGAAAACAGACCTCTGTATGTTAGCTTTGCATCACTTTAAGGATACATTATGAAAATGTGTTCATCGAAGCAGCATACATAAGCCTCGTTTCCCACAAAATATATGTCAATTCAGTACACACTGTTACTTCTGTCTCTCAAAAGAAATTTATGGTTAGAAAGCCTTCAGAGTTACAAATGGCGCTGATAAAATAGGGCTTTTGTTAAATGACACTTATTAAATGCAGCTTTTGAAGCACATGAGCAATTATTTTGCTATCTATTTCAATCTGCCTGCCCATTTATTTATTTTTATTGGAAATTAAAATGAGCTTCTATGGAAACATTCAAACATAACCCGTAATTCTTCCTTATGTTTTTTTCTATATGCTTTGGCATTGTGTATATAGCTGCTCCAATACTGGTGCTTTGAGACAATCAGTGTATTTCCAGTGTATTCAAATATATTCCATCCGGCTCCATCTGATATAAAAAAATCAGATGGAGCCGGATGGTTATGCAAACAAAAAGTCACATTTAAATATGTTTAAATGTATGTGTACACACAAAAACACAAACACCTTCAAATGTTGCCTTATTAAAAGGAAGTTCTTTTTCAGGCCTTTTGCATGTAATGGGAGGAGAATGATCACCTGAACCCATCCTTTTAGTTTCCATTGCTAGTTATATTATTGCAGTGGCATTCTTTTCTTGGCAAATGATATTTTTATTTTCCCTCAAATCTAAGCAACACTATGACAAGAGATACCATCATTCTAGGATTCATTGATATATATATTTTTAAAAAATAGTGATTAGGAAAGAGCCCAAATACCCTAAATACAATAGATCTTTCTGATCTTGGAAACTAAGACTGGATCTACACTGCCGTATATCCCAGGATCTGATCCCAGATTATCTCCTTTTAATTGGATTATATGAGTCTACACTGCCAGATAATCTGAGATAAGAAGATAATCTGGGACCAGATCCTGGGATATAAGGCAGTGTAGATCCAGCCTGAGTCTACACTGCAAGATAATCTGGGATAAGCAAATAATCTAGTATCAGATCTTGGGATATAGGGCACTGTAGATTCAGCCTAACAGGGTCAATACTGATTACATAGTTGGGAGATCACCAATTAATACTAGATGCTGAAAGCTATATTTTAGAGGAATACACTGGCAAAACCACTTCCTTACCTAGGAAACCCAATGAAATTCATGGGGTCGCTATAAATGAACAGGCAACCAGAAGGCATACACACACATAGATATACACACAACAATGGAACTAGCTCCACACTTCTTTTGACCCATCCTCTGAAGGTATAAGTGAAAACCCAGTCTATTAAAGATGGGGATACTTTTTCTAAAGACATACCTAAATGATGGGCAAATGATCAAAAGTCAATAAGTGGTCTACACCACTTCAAGAGCAACAAGAATAGAGATATGCTCTCATTCATGTTACACACACTGCAGGATATTTCCTTAATTTGTTATCCCAATATCATGTGGATTGCTTCCTAATATTTTGAGTTTTGTCTCATCAAGACAAAGATATTGTAGTTACAGCTCTATTCATTTAGACTACCACTGTGCATAAATAGGTTCTGATGGGAGAAAGGTAAGAAATATTGTACAGATTAAACACTTATTGTTTTTCAAATAACACATTGACTTGTTGGGAAAGAAAATTATCTGTAGCATTATCCATAATATCTAAACAGAAGACAAAACCCAACAAGCCTAACAAAACTATTATGCGTTTCAATTGCAATCCTGTCATCATGACTAATGAATCAATTCAGTTTGTCAGCAAGTTTTTCCACCTGTACCATAACATATAGTCACAAATACACTGTCTACTAATATTCAACTTGAACTGGAAGTGTATGAGATACATTATGGAAGCTGCTATTTCCAGTAGGTTCAACATTATGGTGTGCACTGATATAGCTATGGCTGGCATGTTCCAATGAACCTGAGGGCATAACCATTAGAGTCATGTATTCCTAGGAGGAACCACAAGGGAGGTTCCAGTCCAAGCACAATCTGAAGACCTGAAGACCTCTACTGTGGATCAGGCAGAAGATAGCATGGTACATGTTACAACGGCTATGAAGGTGGAAGAAAGCTGCAACAGATTGAGAAGCCACCGTCATCATGTTAACCATGCCACTGGTTGGGACCCTCACTCTGTGAAGATTGTGTGTTGATCGGCTATGCACCAACCTCCACACATTAAAAATACTCACACACAGGTATCTTCCAAGAAAAATAAAACCCTTGGAAGGCCATTATACTTGGACAACTAGGGATCGCATCAGTAAGTAAGCTATGGCTACATCCTAAGGAATGCTAGGGTTTGTAATCTGGTCAGTTGCCATCAGAGAAACTCTCTGGAGGAGGACTCTAAATACCTTTCTCTAAAATCCCAGTCTCAGGATTTCATGGGAGATAACCCTTGGATTTAAAGCCGAAAAAGCCAGCATGGAATAGTGGTTTGAGTGATGGACTACATCTCTGGAAATCAAGTTTCTTATTCCTGCTTGCCCATGAAAACTCACTGGCTGATCATGGGCAAATCACACACTCTCAGCCCCCATAAAATCTTTAGGGTCTCCATAGTCAGAAACGACTTAAAGCTACACAACAAAAGAAATAGTACTATAATTATGTAATGGAAAGCTGTGGTTTTAAAGGAAAATTATGCACTGGAGGCTTTTGGGTTTGGCCATACTCTATTGGGGAGGGGGGTCTCATTTGTCTCTGGTGAAGGAGGATTGCAAGAGGCTTTCATTTTGCTTGATGCCCATACTGTCTTAAGACCAAACTATTTGAGAGAGACGCAGAGAATCCATGATCAGATCTTCTCCTCCTTCTATTATTTCCACAATCTGACTGTATGAGATTCTGTTTTTGATTACAGCAATGGTATTTGGGAAGGAGAGGTTAACTCCTTCCCCAAAGCCAAGTCACACAAGTCTTCACCCATGGCACTGCTCCAATCAAAACTGGTCCCTTGACTTCACTAGCTGCATTTAGGTAAAAGCAGAATTGTAATCACAGATGTTTGCTAATATTCAATAACCACATTCCCTTCCTTGGGGACCTCCTGGATCCTGCACCTCTGCTGTTTTAGCAATTATAGTGGACAAAAATAGCTATTAAGAGAGAAGATAAGAAAATTAAATAGGATAAGAATACCCTTATTTACCTGTAATTTTTTAAAAGGAACGGAAGAAAAAAAACTGTGTACCAGTGTAGCAAATCCAGAAATGAGACAGTGTTTGTCCACCAGGACATGCTATGTTTGCACCCCAATTTCAGTTTGTGACATTTTACTAACCTCTTGCCAAACTGACTTCACTTAGCTCTAGGGAGAGAACAAACTGAAGCTTAAAAATTAAATCCATAGCTCAGTAACATTTCATTTTCTGTTCAATAAAACCGTGGTCTTTGTTTGCCCAGCTGTGAAATTGCTTTATTTGTGGTGAGGGGGCAAAACGGGGGCAGGTTCCTCCACCCAACTGTGCCTACTACCTCTAGGTATAACAGGCTAAGAGCAGGAAAGGATGAATATTTATGCCTTATCTTCCCAACTCCCTCCAATAATGATCATTATAAGCAAGTTCTGGCATTAGTACACAGCTCTTCCTACAAGCCTTTGTACAACACATCTTCCAATAGCTGTCAGCATTGATTGTAAATAAGCATTCAGTTTCTAAGCAAAGCTTTCAGGCTACTTATCTATTTTTGTTTTTTTCCTTAACACAGTCCATTAGGATAAAATTCAGCAAATATTTCCAGAGCCATCACTGTTAGCTAAAGAAAAAAAATCCCTTTTTTGTCCCTAACTGGTTGAAATGTTTCATGTAGTGATGATACATTTTGAGATTCCTAAATAGCAAGGTATTTTCTTTTTAATGCATATAGGAAAATGCAAAGGAATGTACTGGTGGCAGATAATATAAATATCTAAAGTCTCCTGCACTTTCTCATTAACAATGTGCATTCCTACTCACTGCATGCTATCTTCAAAGCTATCTCCTGTGGTTATAGATGTTGCAATATTACCCTATCTTGTGCTCTACCATAAATACTTAGACTGCATCATACCTATTAGCAATGTACACTTCCAGGTGTGCTGAACTACATCTTCCATCATCCCTATCTGGAATAGCCAATAATCACATGCATGCTACTAAAGGATTTATAACCAAGAGGACTCTCAAAACACATTCGCATCTGGTGGAAATGTCCAGGTTCTCAAGACTCTATGAGAATTCTGAACAGAGTTCTCCAAGATCTCTAGTCAAAGAACCCACAGCAAGTAGCTGTTCAGCTTCTTTCTGAAGACATCCAAAGAAGGAGACCATACCACCTTCTTAAACAATTGGTTCTACTGCCAAACTTTGATTAGTGTCAAGAGGTTCCTTCTAATCAGGGCTGAATTAACCATTAAGCAAAATAAGCACTTGTTCAAGGTATCAAGGGGAAGGGGGCACCACAGAATTTTTCACTGTTGGATTGTTAAAGGCTATATGAAAACAAACAAAATGTGTGCAGTCCTGTCCAGACTTCCCCAGTCCTTTTGTGCATCCACAATGAGCAAATATGAGCCAAGAAAATGGGAAAATCAAAATTTACTCTTCAAGTATTTCAAAGTACTTACTTTATTTTGGTCAGTCCAATACAAGAAAAATCCATTGGGGTCTGTTCGGAGAAAAACAGTTGTCACACTGGTAGAGTCCTGAAAAAGAAAGAAAGGGCACCTTAATGCATATGAAAATCCTTTTGCACTTCGATCAATGCTTCCCAACCCCTTTTTGACCAGGGACCACTTGACCAGGGACCACTCTCCAACACTAGTACCAAAAGGATTACGAATCAATTTTTGGTCAACTATAGATTTGGTTTGGTTATTTGGGGAGCTGATTCAGAAAATTGCATTGGATAGACCACATCAGCTCTAGTTTCTGATACAGAACATATGCCATCCAGTAGTCACCATCTGCTCGCCCATAGAATACTATATTTAATAAGCCTCAGCACTATAAGAGGTTTTCGCAAGACTAGTCACTTTCGTTGCAACGGTGTAGTAACGGTGAGGCAATGGACCGTATTTTAGTTTTTGTGGACCACTAGTGGTCCATGGACCACAGGTTGGGAACCACAATAACCAGCATAACCTAAATTAAATCTAGCAGCACTGCCCTGAAAGAAACTGCATACAAGGCTGCACTCTTTGTGCTCAGGTCCTCCTCATTTTATAGGAATCTGATGCAACTAATTTTACAAAGGCTAGCTAAATAACAACATGCCATTAAACCATTCAAATACAGAAGTACAGTTTACTAGCACTGTTCCTCTCAATCCCTACAATGCATTTCTGAGGATAAACATCTGTCAATAGTTAATTTGCACCATACTTTAGATGTTCCCCATGCCAAATGAATTGCTAAATTGTCACTATTCCACCCCCACGCTTCAAAACACAGATGTATCTTGCAATGTAAATAATTGCTGTGCACTTTAAACCTTCCAGTACTTCACAATTGCTGGAGAGGATCAGCTGACAATTATACTGTAACCTAACACCTTAGAAGCCAAGCACATTTCAAAGGCAAGCATTTAGCCTGGCTCCCCTCATGGGGATGCAGCCTCAAGTCTATAAACATTTGGTGAAAGCTCAAGTTATTCCATTTATTTTAGAGTTTGCGTTCTAAGCAGATTTCCATACAGCAGCATTTTACACCATTATCTCCCAGCTCCAGTCCCCTTGAAGTATGCAGCATGTTACTTAAATGTTTTCAGATGTTCCACTCATCTTTATTTTCATTCCACATCATTTCCATTTATGCCCACAGCCTAACAGCTGCCAATTATCAGCACCCTTTAAGCTTTGTCATTGCAAAACTGCTAGATGTTAGAATCATGCTTCTTGATCTGTGATTCAGAATTCCTAAAAACTAGTCCAGTAGTTCTCAACCTGTGGGTGCCCAGATGTTTTGGTCTTCAACTCCTAGAAATCCTAACAGCTGGTAAACTGGCTGGGATTTCTGGGAATGGTAGGCCAAAACATCTGGGGACCCACAGGTTGAGTACCACTGGAGTAGTACAACTTTTGGTAGGTCCCTCTTTAAGTATCTCTGCGAGTGGTGCAGTAGACTTAAAGTGAGACTGTTGATAATCTACAACCCAAGGCAGGTTGAGGTACTTAAGAGCAAGGCAGGAGCCTCTCCATTGGTGTAGAAAGGGTTTCAACTTCACAACCCAAAGAAAATCTAGATCTACTAGCAGGGACCAATTCTAGGGTGTTCAGGAAAGGGCCTAAATACACTAAAGCCAAAATATTTATTTGTTTTATTTGTGATATTTGTATACTACCCTTCTCAACCCCAAAGGGGATTCAGGGCAGTTCACAGTCTTGGCAACTAACGGGTGATCCTGAAAGCTATCAGGGTTACTCCTATTAGTACTTAGATTGCAGACCACCAATAAATGCCATGTGCAGTAGACTGTATTTCAGAGGAAGAAACTGACAAAACTACCCCTGTTTCTTGCCTAAGAAAATCCTATGAAATTCATCATAAGCCAACAGGTAACCTGAAAGCACATATAATAAATAATAAACTTTATTTATACCCTGCCGCCATCTCCCCAAGGGGGGCTCGGGGGGCTAACATGAGGCAAAACCCAGAATTACAGTACAACAAAATAAAATAAAATACAGCAAATAATAACATCAAAATAAAATATAGAAAATGACACAAAATGAAATAAACAGATGCAAAATAACGTGATGAAGAAATAAAATAAATGGTGGGCGGGCCAAATGCACAGGATAAGATTGATAAAACCCTAGGTGAGATAAGTAAATGGAGAAGTATGTGTCTGTGGGGGAGCTCAGAAGGGGCGAACAATGGGATTGGGCCTTCATTAAAAGCAAGGGAAAGTGCATCATGAGGACAGAACTATAGTTGGGACGGACATGATATGGGGATATGTGTTCACTCGTCAAAGGCATGCCGGAAGAGCGAGGTTTTTAGGTCTTTCTTAAAGGCTGGCAGGGTGGGGGGCTTGCCTAATCTCACTAGGTAGTGAGTTCCAAAGCCATAGGGTCACCAAGAAGAAGACTCTCTCCCTTGTCCCCACAAATCGCACTCGTGATAGAGGCAGGAATGAGAGGAGGGCCTTCCCCGAGGATCAGAGAGATTGAACAGGATTGTAAAAAAGAAATGAGGTCACAAAGGTAGGTGGGTCCCAAACCATTCAGGGCTTTGTAGGTGATAACCTGCCAATTGGGATGGCAACTAATGGAGTTCCTTAAACAGGGGGGTAGACGACTCCCTGTAATTCACTCCTTTTAGCTGTCTGGCTGCCTATCATTGGACCAATTGAAGTTTCCGGGCTGTCTCTACCAAGGGCAGCCCCATGTTGAGTATGTTGCAATAGTCCAGTCTGGAGGTAACTAAGGTGTGGACCATAGTGGTCTGATCAGACTTCACAAGGTACAGACGCAGCTGGTGCACAAGTTTTAATTGTGCAAAGGCCCTCCCAACCACAGCCAACACCTGAAGGTCAAGTGTCAGCACTGAGTCTAGGAGGACCCCCAAGGTGTGTCTTCAGGGGGAGTGCAACCACGTCTAGCACAGGTTGCCACGCTATACCCTGATCAGATGAATATACACAAAGGGTGTTCTGGGAGTATCCTTGTATCGGCTAGATGCAAAAACTCTTCACTGCCCTAAGAATTAATGAATATACACCAACAGTATTGTTAACCTTTGCCAGTTTTTTAAACATTTGCATCTTAGTAGATGCATACTTATGATATATACAGGTGTGTATGTACAACTGTACTTACTTGTTGCGCACTACTTCTAGCAAAGCTTCTTTCATCAACTGAGACTTTTTATTAGTATCTGTTAGCCACAGCAGAGAGGCCTCTGGTGTCCAACAACAACAACAACAACAAACCCTATTGCTATAGTACAGGTTTATATAAATGCTGGGTGAAAATTAGAGCCTTTCCACACAGCCCTATATCTCAGAATATCAAGCCAGAAAATCCCACATCTCTGTGTTGACTCTGATAACCCAGTTCAAAGCAGATATTGTGGGATTTTCTGCCTTTATATTCTGGGATATAAAGCTATGTATACGGTCCTTAGTTAAAAGAAAAATTGTAGTGTAAGCCCCAATCATCAGTTTTGTAGGCTGGTCGGTGCAGCTAAATTTCATGCAATTGCTTCCTTGGAGGACTTAATGGAATGGAAGTTAGAGAAGTGATGATGTTCCTAGGAAAAAGTGCTTATTCTGATGGTGACAGAGGTTCCTCACTCAGCCTGCAAGACTTACTGGGGTTTTTTTTAAAAAAGTAAGTAATATAAAACGCACCCAATAGTGGCAGTTGGTGTTTTCAAAGTTAATGGGGGTGATTAATTTGCCCTGGGTTTTAAATTTAACTGTAAAGGAACTGTCCAAAGTTCTGAATCTTTCTGGTGGGTAGAGTTCAGCACTTTGGAAACCAGGATATTTTTGTACAGAAGTAAGTTAAGCTATGGATAGCAGAAGCTACAGCATTGTACTCAATGTGCTGTCCAGAAAATTGATGGCTGGGATTTACTTCTGAGAATGCATGCTTATTCAGATCTACAGTCCTGCTTTTTAATACTTAAAACATCTTCTGAAACTATGAAGGAGGTGAGATGTTGCTCACTTAGGAAAAAGAAGACCTTCCCCATTTCATTATTTGTGACTGCATTGAGGCAATACCAAGATCCCAAACCAGGAGTCATTCTACTTTGCTTATTGTACTAAGTTCTTCTTCAAGGTTAGTGCAAATATGATTTCATACATCCATGATACATCTACTCATAAGTGTTTTGGAAGACTGGATTTTTTTCTTACATATTTTCCATCTTGAGCAGCGCTTAGAACAGCTCACTGTTCTAAGCTGTGACCTTGACAGCTCCAAACTTCACAAGCACTGGAACATACCAAATTCCTCAAGAATCTATGATATTAAAATAAGGCCATCTACATACAGATAGAGAGATAAAGATACATATGCACACCAACGTACAACAAATCATATTCTTCTGCTCCTTATGACTGGAGGGCCTTCCAGACAGGCCCACTGTGAACCGTCCTGAGTCCCCTTCAGGGTTGAGAAGGGTGGTATATAAGTATCACAAATAAATACATAAATAAATAAAATAGTCCAGTATCTGATCCCAGATTTTCTGTTTATCCCAGATTATCTGGCAGTGGGGACTCATATAATCCAGTTTAAAGCAGAAAACCTGGGTTCAGATACTGGGATCTTCTTCTTTCTTTGGTCCCATTTCCATTTTAGATCTACCATTTCCTCTCTTCATCACTGCCTCTGATAAGTGTGGTCTCCCATTTGGCTATAAAACCTTTGAAAACCATTCCAAGCCATGAGAGAAGTACTCCACCTTCACTCATCTGACCAACAAGTGTTACATTTAAGATGAAATCAGGTGTCAAACAGGGATGTGTTATTGCCCCAAACTTATTTTCCATCTTTATCGCTATGATACTTCATCTTGTTGGTGGGAAGCTTCCCACCGGAGTGGAAATCATCTATCAGACAGAAGGAAAGCTATTTAACCTCAGCAAACTGAAAGCCAAAACCAGGGTAACAACAACATCTGTTATAGAACTCCAATATGCTGATAACAACGTCGTCTGTGTGCATTCAGAAGAAGACCTACAAGCCAC